AAACCTTCAGAAATAGGGACGGATGTGTGAAGAAACCTTCAGAAATAGGGACGGATGTGTGAAGAAACCTTCAGAAATAGGGACGGATGTGTGAAGAAACCTTAAGATATACATTCCAAACAAAAACGAACCCACCTTGCCATCAATGAGTCCCATCGATGACTGAGACAGCCGAAGGACCATTCCCGAAGCCTGGTGTTTGTCGGTGTATTCGATGGTGCGGGGGTCGTTGACTTGTTGCTCCACGGTTTTGCGGTCGCCCAAATCATCTTCACTCCATTCAATACCATCTGCAAAGCCGACGGTGTACATGTCCTGGTGGCTTTTCTGAGTCCCAGCGGTGACCGGAGAACCATTCCTACCAATTGGAGGAAAATCATGAAAAACGGAAAATGGCTCAAACAAGCACCCAGTGTCTAAATTGCATTGCCGAATATAGTCCATCTCGTCCTCAAACTCTTTGCCGATTTGCTTAATCTTTTTGACCTGGTGATTTGCTTCCTGCACCCAAGGTTCCAAGGCCTCAAACTTGGGCTCATCACCCACATAAAGCAATTGCAAACGCTGAATAGTCTCCAAAAAGTCCTTGCGCCTTCGGCAAATGCGCGACAGCAACATGACAGCTGCGATGGCAAGAGCAGAGTCATTCATCGCGATGAAGTCCAGAAGGCAATGAAGAAATCCAGATAAGGCCTTTCGACATGCCCGATCGCCCGAATCGGGCGGCTGCCAGGGCAGTGCTATCTGCGCCAAGTCTGTGATAATGGTGATGTAGCTTGGGACCTCTTCAATACTCTCCACAGAGATTGGTCTCCCCACATCATCAGCTCCATGTGAGAGCCCAATCATGTTGGGTCCTCCCACAAGCTCCTTGACTGAGCCAGGCAGAAATTCCAGAAAAGTTTCCATGAAGGACTCCACGTGAATATTCACACACAATGAGCAGCACATGTTCAACAAGCGACAAACATCCTTCAAGGCAGCCAAGTACAAATCCGTTGCAACGATTGGATGCACCTGCACAAGTCGGTGCATGGCACTAAACAGCTCAGTGACCCAACGGAGTTCAAAGGTCGGCAACTTGTTCTGTTCAAGATCTTCTTCGTTCACGTAGGCGCCCTGCTCGAGGCGTTCTTGCAGTTCCCGTTGTCGATCCTCAGACTCCTTGCGGAATCGTTCAAAATAACCGAGTCCAATGAGCTTGGACAACAACATGCTTAGCACACTGACGAGGTGCCCCATGCAATCCGAAAAGTCGGAGCGTGGCTTTGGCTGACCGGGACTTGCCATGTCACGGCACAATTCGGCCAAAGAAGCAAATTGCCAAGAGCACATGTGGCAAAGCTTCTTGAGGTCATCAGGCGTCAAAGGAGCTGACCCTCCCCCAGGAAGCTCATCAAAGGCACTGTCATCATCGTCTGCCCGCGTTCCATCCAAGTATACCTGGCTGATGACCGAACTTCGAATTGACTCGTCCGCAAAAGGTGGCTGACCCAAAAAACCATGCAGAAGCAAGGCTGTGTGTGAAGAAAGCGCGGCGAGGTCGCTTAGGTCAGCGACATCTCGGCTTTCTTTCACTTGACCTTGTTGGCGTCGTTGTTCAGCCAAATAGGCTGGGCAAAAAACCAGCCCTGCATTTCGCAAGACCTCCCGCTGGATGAGCTGACCCCGCACCACGCTGGGTGGTATCACTGACTGCAAGAGTACTGAGTTGTCAGTGTTTCGATCAGCTGTGAGATGTGCCAGCAAGTTCACCAGTGCAAAATAAAGGAATCTGCAAGGCTGAATCTTCTGATTTGGCTGCAAGAAGTCGAGGTCCTCTTGAACATAGCCACGGCCTTCATAGCGCGGCGGTTGCGCCCTCTGCTGCATCCACAGCACGCGCGGGACCATATTACGGATGATCTGGGCAAGGTCGTCTTCATCCTCTGCCTCCGGTGCTTGGGCCTCTTCCAAGGCATTATCGAAGGTATTGAAGAAGATCGAGGTGCCAAGCTTCAACAAGGTGAACTCATCCTTCTGGCTCATGAGCTGTTTCAGGCCCTTCCCACTGCCAACGAAGCGAGTTCGGCGTTCGATTTCAGCCCGTGCATGCATGTGATCATCAACTGTGATGCTGGTCTTTGCCCAAATGTTGTCTGAACACTCTGGTGGAGGGCGCCTTCGAATACTCAGGGCCTCACTGGTTTGAATCAGCTCCCGAGTGATGAAGTCTTGGATTTCATTGATAGCGTTGCCATCAGGGCCGATGCATAAGTCTGTCAGAAGCTCCAGGATCCTCTGGACGAACTTCACCCAGTAGTATGGGCCCTTTTCGAAACTTTCCTTGTTCTGCGCGAATGATTTGTATTGTTTTTCGTCCAGAACTTTCTTCCTCCTGGTAAAAAGTTTCCAAAGCACATCCACAATGACTCGAATTCCACCTAAGTTTTCCTCCGCTGTACCAGTGGTGCACTTCTTGCGAAATTGTTCTAAGACTTGCTGGAACTGTCCAAGTTTCATGGTGGCATCGACTTCTTCACTTGAATGTAAGGGCTCTGGACGAGCAAAAGCCATCGTCAGCAAATACAGAGTGTGTGCGGACAAGGTACTTAAAAGGTCGGTGGAGGTGGCCACCTTGCAGCATGGCACCAACTCTGGGACCAAATCACGAGACAAGAAGACATCTGGCATCATAATAGCTCTACGGGCTGCTTCTCTGCGCTCTGGCGTGTTGACTTCATAAGGAGAGATGGTCAGAAGTCCAGCGTTGGCCGCTGCATTGGTCTTGAACGGCATGAGCAATGGAAGGAACGTCTCCAGTTGAATTCTGGAGAAATCGTCATCGGAAAAGTTAACAGGTGGTGGTTGCTGCTGCTGCATGTTCACTGTTGTGGTGCGAAGCTTGCTGGTTGTCGCAACACTTGCGGCAGGAGTTGTGTTGCCACTCTGCTTCTCACTTGGTGCATCACCTGCTGAAGCAGCAGAGTCCTGGTTCATCTGCTGCGACCCCATACTCACAGCATTTGCGCGAGCTGCATCATTAGTTGGTGTTCCTTCTCCTAAAGAAGATGTTGTCAGTGTGAACTCCCCAGCACCAATGATGTCCTGATCCTGGACATGGTACACATAGCGTGGCTTGGAGATTTCAAGCATCTTGGGCCGGGCAGGCTTCGAACTTTTGGCTAAACCGTAGAAGACCTGAAGCTTGGCGTGCGCCTGAGTGTCTCCCACTGCCTTCTCCCGTGCAGACGCCTCTGACTGAGCATTGTCCTCCTCGAAGTCCTCTCTTTCAGAGGTCACGCGCTTGTTCAAGTCCTCTTCTTCGATCTCCAAGATAAAAGACATGTAGGCCCATCCTTTCTGCTCTTTCAGCTCTTTCATATCCTTTAAAGGACGTGGGGGCACATCTGCTCCACCCTTGTCAATCCACTGCCAAACACGACGGCGCTTTTGCATGTTTGCGTCTCGGAGTTCCCGAAGCTCTTCATAACGCAAGCGCAAGTGGTCGTCCTGCTGCTTTCGAATGATGCGGAAAGATGCATCGATTGGAAGCACATCCAAGCCTTCTTCCACCATCCGCTTCAAGTCTAAGGTGGACTCTTGTGAACTATGGCAATCCCATTCGATTCGAATCTGCGTCGAAATGCCCTTGTCCATTCGAGACCACAGTGAAAAGGTAAAGGCTCGATCGATTCTGGAAGGCAAGAAAAACTGCTCGCGCTTCTCATCAGCTTCAGCACCAGAGTTCTTGAGGTAGGTTAGTATTCGATAGTCATGGTTCAACTCCTTGACATCCTGCTTCTTGGAGTTCTTCTTGGGCAACACAGGGCCATGCGGATGCAGAGCTGTATACATCACTTCCAAGACTCTCGAGCGCATGATCCGATTGCAGTTGATCGTGATGGCACGTAGCGACTCCACCATCAGCGTGATGTCAGGATGAAGATCTGCCAGCAAACTCTGATCGTTGATGCCGATGTCGACCTCCACGTCTCGGAGCATGTCATAGAGGTCACGAAGACCATCACCCTCATCGAAGGCCAACATCTGGATCAAGGGAATGCAGTTGGTGGTCGGAAATTGATCTGACATCAAGTTTGACAAACATTGGCAGCAGTTTGAGATGGAGCCACAAATCTCCCGAAACAATCGTGTGCTGGCTGTATATGGAAGTAGTCGATAGACGGGCTTGTAGAGCTGATTCGTCTGTGGATTCGTGCAAAAGCTCGGAATCTCGTAGGAGAAGTTCGCCTTTGAGTTGGCAAAGCGGGGCAGAAAGTCTCGGATCACGCTCAGGATTCTCATCATTTTGGGCACGACTTCCAGCTGAATCAGCTGAGAATGCTCTTCCGGACTGGAGGTGCAGCAAATGTATTTCAGGACAGAGGCAGCGCTGAAGCACAAATTGAGATCAAAAAAAGAGTTCGCCTGTGTCTCGGGCATCCTCCTGACCCACAGCTTCTAAGGAGGAGTCCATGGGCTTTAGGACTTGATGCATTGTGCTGGATCCGTGTTTGTCTTTGGAACCACTGGCCTTTCCGATCATCTGTTCTCCCGTGAAGGTATCAGTTGAAATGATCGAAAACCGCATGCCTTGTCGAATGATTGCAAAGATATTGGACTTCTGCTCCTTGCTGGTGTCGCTTCTTGATAGCAGCTCCAGCAAAGGGCGGACAATCCGAACGGATGCCTTCAACCAGGATTGTTAGGGGATGCGGTTTAGAGATGTTAAACTGCGGTGCTTCTTAAAGTTGTGTGAATTAAGTTATAATAGTTGAAACATGTTAAAACTAAAGCAACGTCTGTGGCCGCACAACTCCTTCATCCAAGAATTAGGTTGGAGGTGGTGATACTCGCATTTGCCTCGTTGTTGCTTGTCTAGATTACCTGGCTTTGGCTTGTTGAAACTTTATCCAAGTGTAACCATTGAATCGAAAACAAAGCCACCCTGAAGGAAGTTGGATCCCCTCGGAGTGACGCACGGGTGAAAAGCAAAAATGATATGAATGATGGGCGTCGCAAGTGCAACCATCTGAAGATGCTTGATTTGGTCTACATGTGCCAACCATTGAATCTCTGGAGTGAGCTGGATTTGTCGAAACGTGCTCAACTCGACCCCAAAAGTTAGGTTGACAAAGGCTTGCGGCTTGTCGGATAGAGGGCGCTACTGCTGCGCTTTCTGGTCCTGCTCCTGCTGCTGCTGCTGGTGGGGGCAGTGGAGGGGGTGAAGGTGACAATGGTGAGGACTTTGGTTGGGACCTTGGTGAGGATGGTGAGGGTGATCACTCTAGCGGATGCCGAGCGTTTGGTTCATCGATTAAACTCGTTTCAAAGGATGGTTAACAGATGTTCATAGAAACCCTACAGACCAAAGAGGCGGGCAACCAACATAAGGGCCACCAATGGCCTTTGTTTCAAGGTGTCAAGAACGTTAAACGAAAGCCGGTTTTGAATCACCCGACACAGTGGGACTGCAGACTGCAGTTTTTAAGGTATCTGAATGGGGCCTCCCATCTGGGGCCCTGGGGTCGATGGGGCCACAGAACAGTATTTTAACTATTCAGTGGTGGTGGACAAACACCTTTCAGGTATAATTTACAGCATTTTACAGCCATGTCTGCCTTGCAGCCTATAAGTGATCTTACACGCTTTCCAAAACACAGGTTCAGTTTCACTACGGTGGTCTTCTGCGTTTTGATTCCTCCTCGTTCCCGGCCGCATCAAGTGATCCAACACGCGGCAAAACGGCTGAACTTTTCAGATCAGCAACCCCCCACGTGACTTCCACGACGGCGAGCCCACGCCAGAAGCCAGACCCAAAAACCAACCTTGGGAGTAGACACAGAGCAGGAACCGTCAGATCAGGGGTGCCAGGTCACTCCGAAAACTGGTCTCACGAGAAAAGAGAGAGCTGTCAGATCTGTGGCACTGTGAAAAAAACCCATTGCGTAGTGGTGGTCACATCAAAGCCGCCCTAGACTTAAATCTGCTATCTAGAAGCATGTGACTTCCAGGACGATTCACGCCAGAAGCCAGACCCAGAAACCAAACTTGGGAACTGTCAGATCAGGGCTCCTCGGTCATAGGCGCCCCAGCCACATCTTTCTTGTGGACTCTGAAGCTGTGAGACGTGTGACCTGAAGCTGTAGATTGCGCACGATACGTGCCCCAAAATGGGAAGTTTGCCTCCTGTTGTAGGCCACTGTTCAGTAGACAGCCAACTGCCAAATTATTCCAGGGTCTATCGCATCAAGCCCACCCCTGGAATTATTTCAGTCGACGCAGCAAGCAATGAGAGCCACCAACGGCAAAAATAATCCCAGCGGTGGGTTTGATGCGATCGACCCTGGAATAGTTTAGCAGCTAGCTGTCTAGAAGGCAAACTTGCCCTGTTGGGGCACAAATCTTAGAGCTTCCACAAATCTGCAGCTTCAGGTCACACATCTCACATCATCTCACGGCTTCAGAATCCACAACCACAGGACCTGTGACCTGACAGTTTCTTATTCCCTGGTCTGGGGTCTGCTCCCGAGTTTTGGTGAGACCAGTTCAGGAATGTAGTGCTGAATTTGGTGTGGTTTCTTTCCTTGACAAAAATAATTCCAGGGGTGGGTTTGATGTGATAGACTGATAGACCCTGGAATAATTTAGCGCTTAGCTGTCTACTGAGCAGAGACATACAACAGGAAGCAAACTTGCCATTTTGGTGCATATCTTACACCATCTACAGCTTTAGGTCAAACATCTCACAGCTTCAGAGTCCACAAGAAAGATGTGGCTGGGGCGCCTATGACCTAGCAGCCCTGATCTGACAGTTCCCAAGTTTGGCTTCTGGGCCTGGCTTCTGGTGTGAACTCGCCGTCATGGAAGTCACAGGCTTCTAGACAGCAGATTTAAATCTAGGGCGGCTTTGATGTGATCACCCCTACGCAATGGGGAGCATTTGGCCCCAGATGGCCCCGAGCCACGTTTTTCGCAGTTCCACACATCTGACAGCTCTCTTTTCTGGCAACAAAGGTTGAAGTTTCAAGAATGAAAGGCGTCATAAGGATCCTTGCGACACCTTTCCTGTTGCCCCGTGATTACCCACCTGTCAGGTGAGGATTGTTATATTTTACGTCAGCCCCATCTCCTTCTCCTTCTCCTTCTCCTCCGCCGGACCTCAACACAACCATCCACGCCCAGTGTTCCCTGCCGGAGCTCAACCACGACCATCCACGCCCAGTGTTCCCTGCCGGACCTCAACCGCGACCATCCACGCCCAGCGTTCCCTGCCAAACCTCAACCACGACCATCCGCGCCCAGCGTTCCCTGCCAGACCTCAACCGCGAGCTCCAGGCCCAAGTGTTCCCTGCCGGACCTCAACCACAGCACACAACCACAACCACAATCACAAACACACAACCACAAACACAACAACAAAAAACCAGAAACACAACCACACAAGCACAAACACTCAACCGCAAACACACAACCACAGCCACAATCACAAACACGCAATGACAAGCACAACGTAACCACAAACGCAACCACAGCCACAACGACAAAAACGCAACCACAAACACATAAACACAACCACAAACACACAACCGCAAACGCAACCCCAAACACACAAACACGCAATGACAAGCACACAACCACAAACAAAACCACAGCCACAATCACAAACACGCAATGACAAGCACAAGCACACAACCACAGCAACAACGACAAACACGCAATGACAAGCACAAGCACACAACCACAAACACACAACCACAAACACACAACCACGAACACACAACCACAAGCACACAACCACAACAACACAACCACAAACACACAGCCACAAACACAACCACAAACACACAACCACAAACACACAACCACAAACACACAACCGCAAACACAACCACAAACACACAACCACAACCACAAACACACAACCACAACCACAAACACAACCGCAAACACACAACCACAAACACAACCACAAACACACAACCACAAACACACAACCACAATCACAATCACAAACACACAACCACAAACACAACCCCAAACACACAACCACAAACACAATCACAAACACACAACCACAAACACAACCCCAAACACACAACCACAAACACAATCACAAACACACAACCACAAACACAACCCCAAACACATCCACAAACACACAATCACAAACACACAGCCACAAACACACAACCGCAAACACACAACCGCAAACACACAACCGCAAACACACAACCGCAAACACACATGCACAAACACAAAACCACAAACACACAACCACAAACACAACCACAAACAAAACCACAAACAGGCAACCACAAACACACAACATCAAACACACAACAACAAACACACAATCACAAACACGCAATAACAAGCACACAACCACAGCCACAACGACAAAGAAGCAACCACAAGCACAACCACAAACACATTCACAAACGCAACCACAAGCACACAACCACAAACACAATCGCAAACACACAACCACAAACACAACCACAGCCACAATCACAAACACGCAATGACAAGCACACAACCACAAACACAATCACAGCCACAACGACAAAGACGCAACCACAAGCGCAACCACAAACACACAACCACAAACGCAACCACAAACACACAACCACAAACACACAACCACTACCACTACCACTACCACTACGACTACGACTACTACTACTACTACTACTACTACTTCGGCTTCTACTACTACGACGACGACTACTACGACTACTACTACTACTACTACCCCTATTGCTACTGCTACTACCACTACTACTACAACTACCACTACTACTACTACTACTACCACCACCACGACCACTACTGCTACTACTACTACTACTACTACTACTACTCTTGCAAGGTTCGGGCCCCGAAGGTCGGGCCCCGAACTGCGCACTACTATTACTACTACCACTGCAGTACTACCAGTACTACTGCTACTACCACCACCACTACTACTACCACCACGACTACTACCACTACCACTACCACTACCACTACGACTACGACTACCACTACCACTACCACTACCACTACCACTACCACTACTACTACTACTACTACTACTACGACTACGGCTCGGGCCCCGGAAGTTTCCCAGCTTTGAGCCGCCCAGTACAACTACTACTGAAATGATCTGAGTTGTACTTTTAGTTGGGCACATGGTCTCCTGATGAAAGCGTTCGCTTCGGACAAAACAGCAAGACTTGGCGCTGAAGGACTTGTGACTTGTGCTATGGGCTGAAATACACAACGAGGGTGATGTCAACGTGGCTGTTTTGAAATGTCATGGTGGGGATCACTCGAAGTAAAGTAATTGTGATCGTTTTTGGATTTTGAGCCAGCTGCAAATGTGAGCATGTGATGTGGCGTTTTGAAGTTATGACATCATTCCTTTATCACGCCTTGAAAGTCCATTCCGACCATATTGTTCCAGGGTACCCTCCACCCACCTCAACTTCAACATGGTGATGGTGGTTTTAATGTTCCTAAAAAAAGTTATTCTGAAAAACTATTCCTGTGGGTGACCCCTACCCTGGAATAATTTACGACGGGAGGGCCCATCTATCTGAATTATGTCTGGTGGGGAACAAAAACATGTTTGAACCGTTCTAGTATCTAAGACCTACCAAATCAATGCCCAAAAAGTCTAAAGTCCGAAGTTTAAAGTGCAAACAAAGCTTGCTTTTGAACTCTGCCTTCAAACCCTCCTCTGCATTGCGAGAATCTGGCTTCAAGTACTTCCAAAGAATGTCTGCAAAGGCAATCAAGGATCTTTCTGCTGACTCAGGCTGCTGGAAAGTCTGCTCCATACTCATCAAGGTCTTGTCAATACTACCTGCAATACAAAGACCATTTGTAATTAAGTATTAGTCTATATATAACTATTACGAATCTCAAAATATCTTCGACATATGATGGGATGTCAAGATTCCCAGTCGTAGTGATGATTGAAAACCAAAAATTATTCAACAAATAATTTTTGTTTAATATAGATTCCCCGACCAATAGAGGTAAAAAGGACACTGGCCTTCAAAAAGGAAAAGAGTCCTAAAAACCGTTTGGAGCCCGGCGACTCTTGGAGAACAGGCCGATATTCTTGGGCAAGGTCAACAGCTCCAGGATGGCTTCACAAATCGCCTGTGCCGTATAGGAGTCCAGGGAATCCATGAGTTCAATCAGCCGCTCGCGATTGTCACTCATCCGCGACAAGGAGGCCTTGGTCATGGCCACCACGCACAACGCGAAGAATCTCTGGATGGGGCGCAAGCGCTCCGCGGTGCGGCCATAGGAGCTCGAGGCACGCAAGGCGGCCGCCGCCGCGGCCTCCGCCGAATCGTCCTTCGAGGCGTCGATGTCCTGGCCTCCGTTCACCACCGAACCATCGCCAATGGAGTCGAGGTGCTTTCCAGCGATGCGCGTGGCCCTGGCCCAGCGCAGCACATCTTGTTGGTACACCACTGCACGCGAGGGGTCTTGCTGAAGAAGCACCATCTCCTCTGGCAAACGGTCGCCTTCAGTGCCCTCAGGATTGCCTTCTGCGCTGGCGTCCTCGCCCTTCGACTGTGCCAGCTCTTGCAAGAGCTCTTCCTCAATGTCCTCCACCTGCTTGAAAATGAACTCCGCCACCGACAAGCTTCGGTTTGGTATGATGGCGAAGGCTGTGTTACAATTCTGCTTAACCTTTTGTTCCACCATATCTCTGATCACCATGTTGGTGCAAAGCAACTTCAGTGTGACTCGTGGTGGCTCATCCTGAAGAAGTTCTGCATCTTCTTGTTCCACAAAGGGCTGAATGGCACGGCCGCTCATGAACTGCACCTGGTAATAAACGGAATCTGCAAAGTCCAAACTCTTACATAGAATCTTCTCGGCCGCTGTGCCTTCATACCGTTGAAGCGCCTCCTCGTCTCGGACCTCCTCCCCGCGCTGCGGCATCGGCTTGGTGTGGCACAGGATCACCACACACGGAGGCACCTCACGACGCTCCACTGGCTGATCAAGCTCTGACTCACTGTGCGAGATCCAAATATAAATCTCATTTGGATTGGTGCATACAGGATAGGGTTGTTCTTTGTCAGGCAGCCACAACTTCACTTGTGTGCGGACATTCCCCACGCTTGGAGGCAAAGGCACACATTCCACAGCGATTCCGGGCGCTCCTTGAATTTGAAGCTTCTTGATACGGCTGACTCCTTGAGCGTGTTCAGGCAACATTGCATCTGCTAGCCGCGGAGCCAGCAAGGGCCGAGTCTCTTCGAATGATTTCACGGAGGACAAGCATCCATAGAGGATTTTGCCAATGTAGAAGCGCTCCTCCGCTGTGATGTCCTCAGGCGAATATGAGGTGACGGTCTCCATGAGCTGCGTCTGATCACATTGCTTCAGCACAAACATCAACAAGGTCCTGGTGGTTCTGAAATTCACGCCAAGTTCCCGCCGTTCTTTTGTTTTGGAGAACACAAAACGTTCAAGAAGAAATCTGATTTGGAAAGAGAAAAGAACATGAAAAAAGCAGCAAAAATACAAAACGAAAAAATGCAAACAAATGCAGCAACAACAACAACAAACAGCCAAAGCTAAGGGTCTCATAAAGGCCTTTGATTCGCTTGTCACCTTGCTGCATGACCATCTCCATGAGTCGCTTGAAATGATGTGACTGACACATGTCTTCGGCCCAGGTCTTTCGGATCTCACTGGTGGAACGGGACACCAGGCGCACCAGCAGCTCCAGGGTTCTGGTCACAGTCAGAGGTTGCGAACAGGCCAAATACTTGAAGAATGTGTCCACTGCATTCACCTGCGATGTGGGTGAAAATGGCACCCCGGGCTACCTGGGTTCACCGAAAATGAACAGAAGGATGACCAACAGGAGGTCAATCTAGCCTGGTTTGGGGCCAAACTGGGGAGGGTTTTGACCCACAGCCACCTCTGGCTCTGCCATGAGCTCCACGTTCCGGCGATGCTCCACCACTGTCATGAGTCCCTGAGTGACATGAGGCGCTCGGTCTTCCAAGCGAGCTTGGTCGACTCCGCCTTCCAGTGGATCAATCGGCGGAGCAAGGAGGTGCTTGATCAGCTCCAAGCGAACCGAATCCTCAACCCCTTTCTCACCAAAGGGAGGCTCCCAGTTCAGGATATTCATGACCAATTCAGCTGCAGCAGCAAAAGTGGTAGCCTCTTGACATGTCTGAAGTAGCTTGTACACGGACTCAAAGCGACGTCCTTTGCCAGGAGCAGATTCTGCCATGAGCATCTGAACCACACGGCGCAGTCCGCTGGTGACGGCGGGATCGGCCAGGTTGCGGAGGGCAAAAATGGCACTTCTTCGCTGACTCTCTGAGCCTCCCGAGAGGAGCTCGCAAAGGACTTCAACCCCTTGTCTTGCTGCCACCACCTGTCGAGTGTCGAAAATGGCCCGAAGAGTTGCTGGCATGGTCAGCGGATTTGGCCTCGGTGCATTTGTGTTGTCAACTATCAATTCAAAAGAATCTCCGTCAGACTTGGGATTTCAGGCCGTTCATAGGTGTTTTCATAGGTGTTCTTGAACAAGTTACACATAGTTACACCTGAGGTTTGAAAAAAAATAAAACATCCAGCCCCTCTTTTCTCCATCCCTCGGATCTCCCAGTGGCAGTTGATCAATGCCCGATCTCCCGAGCTCGGATTCATCGAACTCCTCATGCGTGGAGCGCCAGGCCATCAGCTCTTCGCGGCGCTTGTCGAAGAGTGCTTCGTTAGGTTCCAAGGACTTGAAACCATAGATGTTCACACAGTAGACCTTGGATGACTATTCTGGTAAGAAAAGAAAGTTCATTGCAGTACATAGTCCGCAGCGATGAGGCTTTTTGCTGGGTGTTTTTCCTGCTCGTGGAGAAAAAACATTGAATTGTTGCACAGTCAAAAGCAGGGTTACATCTGGACAACATTATATCACCGATTGATTCTCTTTACTCCCAAAGTTTGCCGAAATGGATTTGATTGAGAGGAAACCGGTCCTCTGGAGCATGAAGAGTTCGCTGTATATAACAACAAACCACTGGGTTTCGTCCCTGCGTGCATTGTTCAATTTCTTTTTTTAAAAAATCAGCAGCCACTTCAAAAGTTCCAGAAAGGTGCCACGTGTATGCGCCCCACCTAGGCTTCTGCCCAACTCAGTGTAGGAGGCTTCCTGCCCGGACCCATCTTGCCGAATCCTCTGCTTTCGTTCAGCTGCAGAAAATGTCAGGCGATCAACGTTATCACACCCCAAACCACACCAATGTGCCTGTTTACTTTGACTTGTCTACGCTTCACTTCGATTTGTCTACGCTCCCTGCACCACTGGATTTCTCAGCGCCCTGCTTGCCTATACTCACGCTGAAAAGGATTGCAATATCATACCGTGCAGACTGCTCTTTACAAAAAGAACAATCTGCATCCAATTCAATTACATAATTAGGTGTGCGAGCATCAATCCATCTTGCACCTTCGCATGGTCTGCCGCGTGGGCTTTGTTTGGCCGTTGTTTTGGTTTCACCTACAGTAGTTGCTTTACCTCTTGATCATGTTCAATTGCTGCTTCCCATTTCTCTGGTGCAAGGTGGCGTTCGTATCGCTTGTACAGGGATTCCTTTTTGTACTCAAGTGTCTACTGTCACCCACCTCCCATACCCGGTATAATAGGTTGGAGGCCATCGCTAGTAGGTTGAAGGCCATTGCTAGTAGTAGGGGTGTTGCGGCTGGAGGGACCGCAAGTGATGTGGTTCAACGTGCTTCTTTCTGGCGCCAGGGGTTCCTCTTCTGTTTATCAATTGTCAAAAAAAAAAGTAATATAATGTCCTTTCTGAATTCCCTCTTCGAGGGGTTTCACCAAGCTGCAAAAGGAATGAAGGAGTAAAACATAGTAAAACTATTTAAGCAAAACCAGGAGACCCAGGCATGTGGATTCTCTGCCCGGTCAAACTCCCAACCGGGGCAGCCAATACAAAGATCAGCGGTGCCAAAGGAACACATCAAGGGAATCTCTGCAATGATTTCTTCTGCCCAGGTGAGCTCCCCGTTCACCGTCAAACTCAGCACAAAATGGTCCACGCTCACACACACATGTACCCATTTGAAGCATTCCAATGGCTTTGACTTGATCACGTACTGATGAGGAGATGCATTGTGAGTAAACCTTAGGACAATGGGGTGCAAACCTGCGCGATTGCCCAGCGTCTCCGAGGATGAGATCCCAATGGCTAGTTGAATGTCGCTCGCTGTGAAGCCTTTGTAGACCATCCAAGCAAACTTTCCCGGTTTGTTGAACTCTTCATTCAAAAATGTGTGAAAGCTGATGCTCCAGGAAGTACTTCCGCGGGCAAATTCGCACTCCAAGAACATTGCCTGTGTCTCTGGCCTCAAGAGTACCAGGGTCTGCGGCAAATTCCATGTGGCTGGAGTGCACGAGAAGTTCGTCAAGGTATTGATGACATATCCACGGTCATGGCAGCAGATCTTGTGGGGATTCGCAACAGAGCCGGGTCCGCCTTGACCAAGCACATTTTGACTCGACTCCTCGGCTGCCATGTCCACAATCTTGGCAACAGCCTCCTGATGGCTCACAAAGCTGCTTCGTCCCTCTTCAGACAAAGAAAGCCCATAGTAGAAGCGGGAAGCAGCCACATGTTCATCCGTCAGAATCCGGCGATTGAGAGGATCATGGACTTCGATTGGAGTGGGTCGATTCAAAAGGACGTCATACATCATGGTGAAAATCTCTCCCTCGGCTGTGATGGCCGGATGTGGTTCATCATCTCCAAGGTGGGCTAGGTACGAAATCAGGGTCAGGACGGACAGGTCGATCTCTTGTTGCAGGTCCTGCGGGGACGAGACAGAAAGGCCGTGTGTTGGTGATCAAACAGTTCCTACTTCCTACCCTTGAATGATCTGCAGGCTTGGAGGCACCAAAGGTCAGAATTGCTCACAACGACATGGGACACTCAACGCAACCCTTGCAGTGAGATACTGTATTCATCAGGGTGTGCCAGCATTGTGCAGTACATTGATCTTGTGCAATAGTTTTCAACTGCAACCACACCGGTACACGCGATGCTGAGGAGACCTGCACCGCGCGCACACACACTTGAGAAGGTTGCTCCGTGGAGCTTGTCTTCAGGCTGTTCGCGGTGAGCATTAGCACTTTACATTTAGGTACTGCATTAGCTGAATGCATTAGCACTTTACTGCAAAACAACGTATGAGACAGCGTTGAACTGACTTAGAAGCATCACTGAATGAATATTAAAAGGTTGCAGGTACGCTGGGATGATCAGTCCCAGTATCATCAAGGCTTAGAGAGCGTCTTCGTTGGTGGTAGACTCTCTGCCTTGCTACCACCCCCTGCTGCTGCTGTACAAAGGTTCAGAAAGTCATAGGAATAGAAATAGCTAGATTAGTGTCCTTGGAAACAGGAGTGGACACACACAAGAAGCCGAACACGGCGCAACTAGACCGGATCAGAAAATATGTATGTCAAATAATGGAAGATCAGGACGTCGAAAAGAACTCAAACAAGGTGAAGAACATGTGTATTACGAAGTGAAAAGTCACTCTGCTGGCGGATCGTCTTTTTCCTCCTTGGCCGCAGCGCCGCGGCACAGTGTTCCTTTGAATGACCTTTTGTCATATAGAGCTGCATCAACTGCTGTGCTGTGGTTGGTACTAGCTGCTGTGGAAATGTGTATTTGCGTAGTGTGTGGCGTCGTGATTGTAGGCCTGACAGGCGTAGTCTGTGACTCCCCGCCGACTGCGGATCACGAATCTGCCAGGGGTGTGTGGAGAGTTGAAAGGTGACAGTTCTGTTGAGTGGATCAATCAGGAAACCGAGTAGATGGTCGTCGTCGACTGGCTCAATTTCAACCGGGCGTTCGTAAAAATCGGGATGGGCAAGTGTGGTGATGGGGAGTGCGGATCTGTATTGTTCGTTGAGCAGGATGTAGCGGTTGTCAACGTATCGTGTGTTGAGGAGGTGAAGGCTGGGTTGTTGTAGAAAGGTGTGGTATGTGGTTTGCCAGGTATGTTCAATGAGTGTGATTGCTACGTTGCATAGAGCCGGTGAAAGTTGACTGCCAATGCCTGCTCCTTGGATTTGTTTGTAGTAAGTATTGCAGGCTTGCAAAATGCATGACTGGAGTGCTTGTTGCACGATCATGGGAATGTGTTGAGCGTCGAGTGTGCGTTGTTGTGGGCGGTGGATGTAATGTCGGCCGATGTGTGAGTGTTGAAGGGGATTGCCGGTGGATTGTACATCGATGGTGACGGCGGTGGTTGTGTGTTGGGCTTTCCAGCGATTGCATAGGCTGATGACTGCGTCGACCAGGCGTTGTTGGGGTACACTGTTGAAGAAACCAACGAGGTCATCGTTGACAGGCGTGGGGTGAATGTCCTCAGGTGTTTTGGAAATGGTTGTGGAGGTGCTGCCATAGGTTGGGTATGGATAGTTGTCCTGGATGTTGAGGTAGGAGATGGAGAAGCATGATGTCTAATGCCTTGGAGGTGGCTCGTAAAAGGGTGCCTGCAATGGATCTGAAGTAGCTGATGACTGTTCGACCTTTTCGCCAGGACTTCTTTTGCTTGAGGAAGACTACGCCATGCGGTGTGTAGAAATGTTTGCGGAATCCCCATGGATAGGCTCGTCGTATGTTGGCGGGGAAAGATTGAGTGAGTTGCTGTTGGAGTTGTTGGTCGGTGAGGTCTGGTAGTGGTAGAAAGAGTTGTGGTGTGTTCCAGGTGGTGAGACATCCATGGAAGTAGTGTTGTGGGCAGAAAATCCGTAGATTCTGCAGTTCGTGATCTGCGTGATGCAAAACTAATTTGTCTGTAAGGAACTGTTGTAGTTGGGTGACATTGCGTGAGGTGAATCGCGGTGTGTGCCGAATGTTGTCGATGTGTTGTTTCCATTGTTGGTGTAGAAATGGTAAACTGTGTTGGTGGAGGGCGGTGGGTAAACCATGGTGTCGTAGCCATTGGGTGAAGTGTTGTTGGAAAAGCTGAAGGTATTGTGTTTTCGTGGGAAGAAAGTGCTGTTCATGTTGGCTTGGAGAATTATTGAAGATGGCTCGGTAGCTGGAGGTCGTCGAGTGTGAGCACGTAATGGCCATCGTGGAGTGGTGGTGTGTGGTTGGGTCGCAGTAAGGTGTGCATGTGGGTGCAGCCGCATGGCATATCGGCAGCTGAAGGCTGTGTTGATAAAAGTTCTTCCCAACGTTTGTGATTGTAACCGTGATCGTAGTGTCTTGTGTGCTGCTTCGCGCAGTTTGGTGGTGGGTGGATGGAATGGAATGGAATGACGTGGTGCATGTGGTGTTGGGTCAGTGTGCGAAGCCATTTTTCAGTGGAGGACGAGAAAGTACTGTGGGAGAGAAAAGGATGGTGAAGGGCTTGTTGGCTTTCGGTGGGGTAAGATTGCGGAAGTTGAGAGCGGAGTGTAAAAGGTGAAGGACTCGTGATCGATCTGGTTCCTCCAGGCTGGCGGCCATGCGTCGGAAGGCATAGATTTCGAGATCTGTGTATTTGCCGCTGCGGATGGCTGTGGAAGTTTCAAAGGATGAGCGTGTATGTTTGCTGAGCTCGCGTAGGACTGTCAAGGCATGCAAGCGTTGACTTGTGTGGAGGTGCGGTTGTTTGATGGTGTATTGTCGTCGTCGAAGCCTTTGAAAAAGGCGCTTGTGAGTGGACATGCGCGTGAAGGTGGTGCGGTGTTTGGCAAATTGCCAGCCAGAGGCCTTGAGTTTGAGGTGTCGTTGAATGTATGGCCAATTGAGGGTGGGTTGCCACTCTTGGATCCGCAAGCGTTCATAAGTCCAAGCTTGATCGTAGGTGTCGTGGTGGGAGAGAAAGATAGTGCTGTAGTGGTGTAGGTTGTTCTTGGAGTGCCAATAGCGTAGGGATAGTTCGGCTGAAATTGGGTGGTTGTTGTGTAATTGTTTGAGTTTGGCGCGGCGGTTGTATTCTCGCTTCGGAATGGTGATGCTGGTAGAGCCGATGTAAGTATGTCCATGCTGGTGGTATTGGTGTGTGGTGTGGTGTTGATTGAAGAAGAGTTTCGCGTAAACTGCATTGGGATGTGTGAACATGTGGTAATGGTAAGTGTGTGGGGTGACCTGTAGTTGGCTGAAACGTGTGCGCCATTGTATGGAGTGGTATGTTTGAGATGGAAAGGCAAAGAGGCATGTGAGGTGACTAAGACTGGTCGAGAAGATCGCGTGGGTCTTGTCAATGTAGGGTGTGAAGTGGACAAAGTGTGAGAGTGCTGTGTGAAGCGTGGTCAAGAATTGTAAAGTGAGATGTGTTGGTTGACGCAGCGCTTGTTGAGCGAGTCAGGCCGCCAATGCCGAGCCCGCGGCCACCAGCTGCTGTAGCGAACGGGGTGGTAGCTTAAGTACCCGGCTGAGCGGGATGCCGTAGCGTGTGGCTGCTTCCTGGAGCTGTTCTTTTGTGATACGTTCGTCTCGAAGAATTTGCTGGATATTGGTGACTTGTGTCTGTGTGGCTGGTGGTAGTGTCTTGAGCCATTTCTGAATGCCTGCTGCCGCATAGTTGGCTGGTGAGTTGTCGTGTAAGGTTTGAGCTGTGGGGTTAAGAATGGTGTTGGCTGTGAGTGCTGCTGGGGCTGTAAGTGGGAGATGGGGTTGGGGTTGGGAAGCTGATGATGATTTCCGGGTTTGGTTGGTGTAAGTGCGATGCCATGAGTCTTCAATTTGTCGCGAGCGCGCTGGAGTTCGCTCTCTTGCTGGTGTAGGCGATCAATCTGTTGCTGAAGTTTTCGGAGCGCTGTACCTTCACCTGCGGGTGGTGTGAGGCCTCGTAGGAAGTCAATCAAGCGGGAAATGAGTAGTTGCATGAATTGCTTGGCATCAGTTGTTTTGTTGGGAATGGATTGATTGGCTTGTTGGTGTAAATATTCAGCAATGTTGTCGATGTCCAGATTGTGGGCTCGCATCTCTGGCAACAGTTGTGAAGTGTATCGTCCTTGGGATAGGGTGCGAAGGCTGTGGTCTTGAAGGCCAAAGCGACTGAGCTGCCAGGGAAAGATGTCCAAGACAGGTTGTATTTTCTGGACCATTGTGTTGGTTGGATAGTGCGGAACAATGTTTGACCGTGGACTGTATTGGTGTCCAGGTGTGTGTCGCTGGGTGTCCATGTGTCTGGTAGGGTGGGGATGTTGGGGGGTACAACGCCGAGTGGTGGAGGGGCTGGATGGTTGGATGCCGGGGGGGGGGGAAGGGGTTCCGGGGGGGAACACCGCGGTCGGTGCTGGGGGAGCTGCAGAATGGTCGGTCGTGTTTGTTGTGTGAGGGTGGTGATAGGGATGTTGGTAGTGATGACGTACTGCATTCGTTAAAGGTCCATAGCCGGCACTGGGTGTTGCAGCACCGTAATAGTGTTGCCACCATTGTTGATGCGCATCCATGATTGGGATCAAGAGATTCACTGCAAAAGAAAGAAAGTTGAAGGCACTGAGTCGTTGAAACTTTTGAACCACAATGGCTGGAGTCGTCTAGTGAAGTCGTCTGTTGGAGGCCAATCCTGAAAATACAGCCAATACAACGAGTATGAGTGTGGGTATAATTGAAAATTGAAATACTGTGAAACTCAAAATATATGGGAGAAGAGTGAAACCGAGAGTGGAAAAATGGAAATCATGGAAATCACTGTACTGTGGATGTTTTTCTGTAGCTGGCGATGTCGGCGAGCTATATACATTG